TCTTAAGTAAACCTGGGGGAATCAGAATTCCTAAAATTTAAATCAGGATCTGCCATTAATTAGTTGAGTGGCCCTTCTAAATCTTCATGAGGACATAGACACTAAAGCATTTAGTAAGCTGAAAGGAGCTATGTCCTTATCATTATTGTTGCCTATCCTGAAGGCCTCTGTATACTTTAATAGCTCTGCCACTCACGTGCCTGTCACACAGTGTTGTTTCATACTGTTATTTACTTATTTCACAGGTAAATGTCTCATCTTGTCAGCTAGACAAGTTCCTTGAGGTTAAGGGCCCTGTCTGTTCTATTTCCCACAATATAGTTCTCTGAGCATAGTAGACAATTTAACTCAACATTTCTTGAGTAGATTTTCTGAGAACAGACTAGTTTTAAATATACTAGGAAATTGTTCTCTCAAAGACTCCTATGGTAAATCAATTGGAAAATTAAGGGTTAAAGAAAAAAAAATTCCTACTTAAGCCGTTGAATAAATTCAAGGTTTACACACTACATTTGCCCAAAGACAGATAACACCTCTAGAAACATAAAGACAGCTGTCCAAGATTCCTTTTTCTAAGGCTACAGAGGCATGATTCAAGAAGCAGATGGGAGGGGTACATGAGTGAAGCAATGAAACGGTCTTCACATCACCAAGGGTCAGGGACTAAAGCCACAGAATGCACTGCAGAATTGGGGCCAGAGCACTCACAACTTTTATATGATAAGCACTTTTCCCCTGGATGCTTCTTTATGCCAAAGGCCTGACAGTCCATTCTCCACCAAGAAAAAACTATATGGTCCCAGAGTTCCAGGATACCTTGAGTGATCATACATACACACACATACAAACACATAAAGTTCAGGGACACCCCCACTAAACTGTTCCCCTATACAAAGTCCTGGGACACCCCTCTCCTAGAAATCAGCCCATTCCCCATTGTTCCAAGAAACCTCCCAATTTGTCACCCTACATATTCTGAGACATCTCCATCAAGTTATCTCTCCCCTGTTCTGGCACTGCTATAGCCTGTGCCTGCATCCACAACCCAGGACAAACCTCCCCACAATCTGTTCCCTCCCACAGAGCCCCAACTTGTTCTCTTATACATACTACTGGAATCCCCCCCATAGTCTGTCCTCCCCCACATAACTGTCTCTCAAATCATTCTCCCTCACCCTGATTCTAGAGCCTTCTCCAACCTGTCTCCTCCTTCTATGTTCTGGAGGATCTCTGAAATGGCTGAGATCTATCTCCTGCCTTGAAACTGGGGGAACCATCAAAGCCAATCTTGTCCTAGACACTCCAGGAGCATTCTCACAAGCTGTTTCTTCACCCACAGACCTTGGACAGCTCCATAACCTGGCATGACCCCCACAAGTGTGAGACACCCCGACAGCCTGGCATGTCCCTGCCAGTCCCAAGATACCTGTACCTCCTGACTCCTCCCCTGAGGGCCGCGCTCCCTCTGTGGACTGCCTCCTCACCACTGTCAGGCCCGAGACATCTACACCTGCTTCTTCCCCTGAGGACCCAGTCACCCACACAGCAGCAGGCACACGCCCAGCTGTGGGAACTCCTATAGCTGCAAGCATTCCCAGAGGCACAGGCACCCTCACAGCCTCAGGGACTGTTCCACTGGTTCTCCTTTGCCACAGGCCCGAGACACCTTCAGAACCCATCACCTCCTCCACAGATCCAGGAATACTGGCAGCAGTGGGCACCTCAGTGATTCGTCTCCTTCCCCATATGTTGGAGTCATTGCCAGAACTACTATCTGGCTCCATCAGGGGCCCAGAAGTTGTGGGAATTCCCATGGCCACGGACACTCTAGCAGCCTGTCCTCTCCCTGATAAGCCCAAGAGACCCTCAGAATGTCTCTCCTCTCCCAAGGGCTCAGGGAATCCCATAGCCCTATATATCCCTGCAGCCTGCCTGACCCCTGACAAGCCTGAGATGCACCCAGAGCCAGTCTTCCCCTCCATGGGCTCAGGCATCCTGGTAGAAGTGGGCATCCTTGTGGAACCCTTGGTATCTACAGGTCCTCTCACTGTCTGTCTCTCCTTGCATAAGCCAGAGACACTTCCAGAGCCAGCTTCCTCTCGCATAGGCTTAGTTGCCCTGGGAGTCAAAGACCCTCTACTAGCTGGGGATACTCCCATAATCACAGGCATTCCTACAGTTTGTCTCCTTCCCAAGAAGCCTGAGGAACCCCCAGAGCCAGTCTGTACCTCCAGAGAACCAGGTACCTCAGAAGCCATGGGAATCTCAACAGTCTGTCTTCTTCCCCGAGAACCCGGAAAAGCCCCAGAACCATTATCCTCTCCCACAGACCACAGCTCCTCAGGAGACATGGGGCCTCCTGAAGCTACAGGCACTCCAGCAGTACAAGCTGTTTCCCATGGGTTCATGACATCTCTAGCACTATCTTCCTGACACACAGGGCCAGACGCCCACACTGCAGCAGGCACTCTGGCAGGTACCTTTCCAGGCCCGGGCACTTCCCGAGCTATGGGTACCCCTGCTGGGGCATACCTGTGCTTGGGCACACCAGCTGCCTGAGGCACATCCACTGTCTCTGACACCCCCACTGCCTGCCTACTCCCACACAGACACGATACAGCTCCAGAGCTGGTTTCTTGATCTGTAAGCCCAGATGTCCCTAAAGCTGCCGGTACCAGGTCCTCTTGCCCTTCCATGGTGCTCCTCCTTTTCCACAGGCTCAGGACATTCCCAGTATGTGTCTCCCTGACATTAAGCTCTGGCACTGCCTCAGTCAGAGGCGTCCCCAGAGGCTGCTGCCTCTCCCACGGGCCTGGAATGCCACCATAGCTGCTCTCTTCTTCCAAAGTTCCTGGGACCATTACAGCCTGGGACATCCCAGGAAGCTGCCCTATTTCCCACAATGCTGGGATGCTTGCACAGCCTGTCTCCTTCCCCAAAGCCCTGGGTACTCCCACAGGATGTTCTATACCCCACAGATCCCTGGCACCCTGAGAACCTGTCTGCTGCTCCCTGGAACCAGACAGCTCTGCAGTCTGTGCAGCTCCCAATATCCCTGGTTCACTGCCAGAACCTGTCTCTAACCACATAGCTTGTCCCCTTTCTTTTAATCCTGGGTCACCCACATATCTAGTTTCTTCTTCAGTGGCACAAGGTACTCCTACAGGCTGTCCTGTGCCCCATAAGGCAGGAATACCCTCAGAGCCTATATCATCCACCTCTTGTCTCCTCTGCCACATGCCTGGGGCACACACAGGGGTAGTTTCCTCCTCCTCAGCTCTGGGCACCACCATGACATTAGGGACTCCCCCAGTCTGTACCCTCCCCCATAAGCCTGGGATATCCCCACAGGCTGTATCTTGTGCCACAGCCCCAGGAACTAGCTGTCCTCTGCCCCACAGACCTGGAGGCTCCCCACAGCCCACCTCAACCTTGACAGCTCTGGGCACTCCCACAGCTTCAGGCAATCTCATGGTCCCAGGCACACCCCCAGTCTGTCCTCTTTGCCAAGGACCTGGGACACATGCAGAGCCTATCTTCTCCACAGCCCCAGAAAAGCTCAGAGGAGGCAGCACCCTCCCAGTCTGTCCCTGCCCACAGACTGCCCTTATCCCCATAGTTCTGGGCAGTTCTGAGGCCCGGGGAATTGCCCTCACCTGTCCCTTTACCCAGGGTCCTGTGACACCACCTCGGCTTGTCTCTACCCAGGAAGCGCGGCCAGGAACACCTCTTTCTACTGGCCCCTCTCCTGAAGGCACAGGACAGAGCTCCACTCTGCTTCCATCTCCACATCCTGAAGCTGCTCTCATAGCCTGCACCTTCAACCACAGTTCCAGAATGCTCCCATGTCCCAGAGCTCCTGGACGACCTTTTCTCTCACAAACTCGGGGACTCTTATCACTTGCCTCCTCCCCAGATCCAGTCACCCACACAGACCCTGTGGGTCCCACCACCTCGGGCTCGCCCAAAGCCCCGTTCACCCACACGACCCTGCGGTCCCTTGCAGCCTCAATAAAGCCTGCAGCCCCAGGCGTTCCCAAAGCCTCGCTCGCTCCGGCAACCTCCGAAGACTGTCTCCTCCCCAATGGTCGCTGCCGCCTTTCGGTACTCACACACCGCTTCTCCCACACCGAGGACCTCGCCCGGCGCCTCGCTCCAAAGCCTCGAGACGTCCCTGCACCCCATCTCCTCCCCCAAGGCCGACGAACTTCCCGTCCCAACCTGCTAGGGCCCACGCAGCGACCCAGCATCTTTGCCGCCAGGTCGCCCCTGCGCAGCCTGGGCAAGGACCCACGGCCAGTCGCCCCACTCATAGCTCCAAGACAATTCCGTTCCCCAACGCAGCTCCGGGGCACTGTGTGTCTTAGCACCTGGCCCCCTAGGCTGCTCCACACACGCACTCACACATTCGAGTCCGGCCCTCACAGCCTTTCTCCTACCCGGCCTCCCCAACCACCCCCGCCCAGTCCCGGGCTCCCGCCCCCCGGGCCCGGACCCGGACCCCACTAAAGCTAGATAGGAGAACTCATCGGGGAAACAAAACAGAAGGATCTGCCGGGTCAAGATCTCCTTTCCCTCAGGTCAGTGACGCCTAACTCAGCTTCCCAGAATCCCCCCAGCTCCAGCTCAAGCCCACCTGGCCCGGGGCGAGGCGCGGCTACCAGTAGGCGGGCAGTGGGGCCCCCAACTAGGCCTCGCTTCCGGCCGCTCTCTCAGTCGCCATAGCAATAGGCGCAAGGTTGCTTGGGAGCCGAAGAGGCTCCCCAGACGCTTGAGCGGTCCAGGTGTTGCAGGGCTGCAAGTTTTGCAGCTAATCTCCATGAGGCCGGAACCAGGACCCAGATCAGGGAGGAAGCCTGAATTTGGGTGGGAAACCGCCCTGAAAGAACTGAAAAACAACAGGAGAAAGACGGTGCTGGTTAATTATGGCCTTCACAGACTCCGTAGCTTGGCAGAGCGGCGCTAGATCCCGAGGTACGGTCCTATTCCCGCCCACCCGGAAATGGCTTCTCCCCACCCCGGGGGCGACCCGCCCAGCGGCAGCGGCAACGTAGACTCCTCTAGTACGCAGTACCCATGGCTATCTACGAGGAGGTGAGCGTGTCGGGCTTCGAGGAGTTCAATCAGGCTGTGAAGCAGCACCTGGGCAAGACCATTTTCGCCTACTTTACGGGTTCTAAGGATGCCGAAGGGAAAAGCTGGTGTCCCGACTGCGTGCAGGGTGAGGCCAGGAATCTGGGTACTGCCCAGAAAGTGGTGGGAAGACCGAGGCTACAGTCACAAAGTGGGGTTCGAAGTGGTATAAGAGGGAGCCTTGGTCTTGAACAGCTGTGAGGCCATCTGAATTGCTCTCGTTTCCCATCAAGTCCTTCCCCGCCACACCGAGTGCTCTTTTTTTTGGTCTTGTGACCCAGATGATCTTGAAGCCCGGTTCTTAAAACTTCATTTCCCCAAATGATCTAGTCGTATACGTGAGTTGGTCACTTTTCAGTCTGCAAATATATCTGCTTTTCATTGTTTTGGGCGTGTGGTGTAGATCAAAGTGGCTCTAAGACCAGAAAACACCTGACTTATGTTAAACCCCTCTGTTAAGTGTAAAGTCTAACTACAGGTTAAAGTCTGAGTACTTATCAAGACTGGGGAAGAGGGGAGAGGATTGTGGAGTCGATGTGCAATTATTTTATGTTAACTTTTTTTTTTCTTTTTAAGCGGAACCAGTTGTTCGAGAGGGGCTGAAGCATGTTAGTAAAGAATGTGTGTTCATCCACTGCCAAGTAGGAGAAAAACCTTAGTAAGTAACAATGTATATATGTTGTGTTTCCGACATGCACTAGACTTACAAACAGGTGAAAAGGCCCTCAGATTTGCACAGATTCTTTGTTATAAGATAAACTGTAATAAGTTAAAACAACGGGGACCTATTAAATTCAAATTTATAACGCATATATTCAGACTCTTGAATTAAGTAGGGGTAACTGAATGAATGTGGCCTGTTTCAGCTCAGTACTTAACTGGCTTTTTGCATCTTAGTCACATTTTAAATTAAAAATTTGCAAAGGGTAGTAATTTATAGTCCTCAACTTTTAAAATGTTTACAACATGAGTGATTACTAAAATACTAAATATCAGAACATATCATATATTAAGCAAACAGTATAACCAAGTAAATTTTTTTCATAACTTTTTTTTTGGAATAGTTGGAAAGATCCAAATAATGACTTCAGAAAACAACTGAAAGTAACTGCAGTGCCTACACTAATTAAATATGGAACGGTGAGTGTATTTCTTTTGATACCAGGGACTTAATCCAGGGGCATTTACCACATCCCACTCCCTTTCTATTTTGAGATAGGGTCTTGCTAAGGTAATTAGGGCTCATTAAATTGCTGAGGCTGGCCTCAGCCTCCCCAATCACTGGGATTACAGGTGAGGTTCTGAGCCTAGCAGGTTATCATTCTTTAAATATCTTGGGAATTCTAATTCACTTTGTCAAGACACTTTTAACTTGTTCTAGAGTCATATTTGAAAAGATGTTGACATTCCATCTCAAACATCCCATTGTTGCTCAGCATGCTTTAAAAGATATACAACCAGGCTGACCATCCCCTACTCAATCCCAATAAACTGCTAAAATAATGCAAATATTTAAATACTTGATTTTTTTTTTACATTTTAAAATCCCTTTTCTTTAAAAATTTAATAGCCAGAAAGTTGGTTGACTCACAATTCCTTACAGCACTAATATAATGATTTTCTGTTAATACATTATTCAGGTTTAAAAGAAAGGGCAACTCCTTTATTTCAGTCATGCACTTGGGATCCTAAATTACGGAGTTCAGGGCAAAGGACAGCTTTGGGCTTGCTGTCTCCTGTTTTGGTTAGTGGAGCTTCCTGGTATTTGGGGTTTAAGGCCTTTAAGCCAAATATTTTAATGATTCACCTTAAGGCAAAATGTCTTAACTGTTTTTATAAGACTTGTTACAACGTGTTATTCTGGCAGGTTTTTTTATATTCAATGATTTGTGTCATTCAAGCTAAAACTTATTCCACTCCTAATAACACCTTGTGGCAGTGCTTAAGACTTGACTGTTCTTTTCTTACAGCCTCAAAAACTGGTAGAATCAGAGTGCCTTCAGGCCAACCTTGTGGAGATGCTGTTCTCTGAAGATTAAATTTTAATGATGGCAACTGTATCTTGATTTCCTGGTTTGCTCTAGTATAAATAATGACTTTATTTTAGCAGTAAATAAATGATATGAAAATTTGCATTCAATTTAGCAGTAAATAAATGATATGAAAATTAGCTTACGTCTAAACAATAAAGAATGCTTTTTAAAAATACTCATGAACCTTCAATTTTCTTGTAACATATAGCCATCTTAAAGATTTGAGTAAAATAAGTTCAGCAGTGGCAGTCATAGTTCAAAGGAATATATTTTTGGAGGTTAAAAAAATAGACAACTTCCAAATCTCTGAAGGGATTAGGATCTTAAATTCCAGAATTTGCAGAACAACAGATATTTTTTAAACCACTTCTTTGCTTTTGGAATGTAGAATTTAACCACTTAGAGAAAGTACAGCATGACTCTAATCCAGCTGCTTAATTCAGGCAGTTCTGTTTTATAGCTGTGTGAATGTGCTTCACTTGAGGAAGCCTGGAGACCAGATAACATAGTTATAAGAACTCTAGAATGTGAGTCAGACACACTGATTTTAGTGCTTAATAGCTTTTTTCCTCCTTTACAAATAAGGATCAATGAGAATGCAAGGCAGCATTTAAGGTGCATGTGGTTTGTAGTACTGGCCAAATGTTAACTTTCCCAAATGAACACAAGCATTTGAGGCTCATCTTTGTTCAAACTTGAGGTTAAGAGTCCAAACACCAATCTTCTCCATACCTTTCACTAGGTCAGTGACATACTAACAATTCTTTCTTAAAGTTGCTATCTGGCTGCTGGGATTGTGGCTCAGCAGTAGAGCACTCACGTAGCATTTGTGGGGCATGGGGCCCTGGGTTTGATCCTTAGCACCACATAAAAGTAAATGAATGAAATAAAGGTATTGTGTCCAACTACAACTAAAAAAATCTGGCAAAGTATTTCCTTTCCTATAGAATGTAAAAACCTTTATGGGATTTTTGCTTTGTGATTTAACAAGAAGTACTCCACTCTAGTCTTTTCTTTTAGTAGATAAGAGGGGTGGAAAAAGTGATCCAAGAGAGAAAAAGATTCAAGAGAGGACTTGCCCCAGGGACTATTTTAAGTCATGAAATAGGCTTAGATTTAATTAAATTTGATAGCCCAATCCCCTGCACCTAACATTTCCATTCTTTCTTGATTCTATTAAATGTTAATAAAAATTTACAAATCCATCTGGAAATCAAAGTAGAACAAGTTTGGCTTAACAGAAATAATGTATTAACAATAAAAAGTTAGCTGGATTTAAAAGCACACTAAAGTATCCAGGTGCTACCACAATAAAGGTAGGCAGGAAGTCTCTTGTTTTGTCTTCACTGTAGAATGGAAATACATTATATATAGTTTTAAGAGCCTGGTCTGTTTCCAGCTTTTCATTTTCCTGACGTGTTATTTTGCTGTTGCTGTTCTGCCAGGGCTTGTTGAAGGCGCATCCGCTTCCGAGAATAGTGTTGCCAGTGTAGAATCTGCTGTTCGTCAATGAATTTCGCACACTGAGCATTCACCAGCTCCTTTCGAAAGTGTTCATATTGGAGCAGTTCTAACATATGTAAACACTGAGGGTACCTGGGTTTAAGTTTATAAGTTAATGACCAACATAATTTGAGTCAATAATGCCAGTTCTAATACATCTAATTGTACAGCCTACCATTTCTATTAACATTAACTTAGTGCACCTTGGTAGTATAGTATAGGTCCATTGTCCACCCGCAAACCCCTTATGTAGAGAAGCTAGTCATCAAAAGTCATTATTGAAAAAAATTTTCAAAAGTAAGAAAATTTAAGTTCAGAGTAGTTAAATAACTTGCCCAAGATCACACAACACAGTGATACACAGAGTCAAATTCTGGAGATAAATCATTCTATTCTAGTACAGAGGTTTCCAGGGTAAGTAACATGAACACTTTTAATTTTAGCAATTATGTATTTAATTTATAACTATTGGTTTTCCACCAATAGTGAAAAAAGACATTTTTTATTGAGAGTCAGCTTCAAAAAGAACTATGTACAAACACTGATCTATAGATTTTCACAGGTATTAGAGCAATTCTAAAATTATTATACTCTCGATTGAGTTAACAAGTATATTGTGGATAAACAGCCAACTTTTTGGCAGTCAGAAAAGAAGTTACAGATAAGAAAAGCAGGGAGGCTCCAATGAACCCTAAGTTATTGAGCTAGAATTGAAAACACTAGTATGTACTCATGGCTTTAAATGTATATACAGACATAGAAAACAGATGTGTATGTGTGTGCATGTACACAGTTTCTAGCTTTGTGTTCGTTCTGAAAGGGCTTAGAAGCAATGACAAATGAGCATGCTCAGTGCCCAGACTGTGGTTTTCAAACAGCATTTTCCAGAGTTCTTTAGAGAAATGAGTAATTCCAGGTCTAGGATGGAAAAATAAAGATAAGCTTGGTATGCTGTGCCAAAAAGAAGTGCTAAGCATTGATGGGAAACTGTTGAAAAAGCACTTGGAAGCCCATCTGAAGATGCTCTCAGTGGCCAAGTTTGGAATAATTAGCTAGAATAGACGTAATTGTAATCTACAGGGTACAAAAAAACCCAAGTCCATAGTGATGTAAATAGGAATGTAAAATACATAGGAATTCTCTTTTCTATTCTTAGTTATTTTGTAGGTGAAATTATTTCAAATTAAAAAAAAGTAAAGTTTAAGACTATTAAAATACATTAAATCATATAGGGAGTACACAAACCCAAACTGCAAGTGATATGCAAACTGACTAAAGTTTGTTAATCATTTATAGACCAGGGCATTGCTTCTTTAATGTGCATAAAAATCACTTCTCAAAATGCTGATTTGGGAGCTAAGGGTACAGCTCAGTGGTATTACTCTTACCTAGCATGCATGAGGCCCTGAGTTCAGTCCCCTGTACTACAATCTAAAAAAAGAATTAACAGATTCTGATTCAGTAGATTTTTGAAGCCTGACTTCTGCATTTCTAACAGCTTTCAAATGAAATCAGTACTGCAAAGGTCTGGAAAGGATACTGAATAGAAGGACTAACACTACAGATCCTTCCAAGATGTTAAAGATTTCTATTTATACTCCAAAAGTAAATAGTTGCCTATAATTATTGGAAGAAGCCTATAATGCTTTATTCACACTGCCCTGGCTAATTCCTTTCCAAGACAATATCAGTAGTTAAAAGATCTGGCCCACAGTACCAGCTGAGTGACCTTGAATAAAGTACCATTTCTTCATCTGAAAAATAAATAAATGTGACAGACAACCAAGAAAATGGTCTCAAGAAGCATTTAGTCAATAATTGGAATTGAGACACTATCAAACTTGTAGAAAACAATGCTCAGAAAAGACAGCAGTTCTAAGACTCAGATTTACTTCCTCTAGCAAACACCATCTATTCAAGTACCGATTTCTGTGTAATCTTTAATTTTCAGTCTATGGGTATGTCACTTCATTAGGTTCCGTGGGATCAGAAATTCAGTGAGATGAGGACAGTGGTAAAAAGGTCAAACAGAACAAGTAAGGAATTATAAATAATTTGAGAGGATATTAATATTCTCTGATAGGTTATAAATCCACAAGATGAAATAGAAGAGGCACAAAAGGGGAGTCTTACAATTAGACTTTTTCAAAAATAAGATAGGGATTGAACCCAGGGCACTGAACTACATATTCAGCCCTTTTTATTTTTTTTATTTGGAGACAGGGTCTTGCTGAGTAGCTTAGGGACTCGCTAAGTTGCTGAGGCTGGCTTTGAATTGCAATCCTCCTGCCTCAGCCTCCCAAGTTGTTGGGATTACAGGTGTGCACCATAACCTGGCATTCTTCCTGATTTTAGAGTAGCTAGAAATTTGGATTATTATATAAAACCTTCCCATTTTTAACCTAGCATGCTCATGCTTGTCAACCCAGGTGCGTGAGATGCTGAGGCAGGACGATCTCAAGTTCAAGGCTAGCTTGGACAACTTAGACACTGTCTCAAAATAAAAAATATAAAAAAAAAAGCTAGGGATAAAGCTAGAGTTCCACCAAAAGGGAAAAAAAAAAAAAAAAAAACCTTCCCATTTTCAAATTGGTGGCTACTATTTTAAAAATCTAAAAACCTGTGCAGATGGAATGAAATGCCCAATGGATTAATTTGCAAAGGTTTCTGAATTCAATTATCTATATGGCTATAGTCTCCAAGAGGTGATAAAGTGATTCTGGACTAACCCAAAAACAAAACTTGGAAGAGGTTAAAGCTGCAAGGAGGTTTATTTTATCACAATATAAGAAAAAACTTTGTTAACATCTGGAGTCAGCTCTCCCTGATAGAGTAACACAGTCACTGGAAATTTCTAGGCAGAGTGTAAACAACCAACTCTCAGCAACAATGTGAGATTGAATTGGATGGTGGCTAAGGCTTCCAACACTAAGTATGTAAATCTGCCTACATACAAACATAAAGTCTTTTTTTTTTTCTTTTGGCTTATTAAATGAATCAATAGTTTCACAAAGAACCAGTCAGGGTGCAGAGTCTTACAGCAAGCACATGGGATGTCTGCTTTATGAATCAGGTCAGGAAAGTGATTTGGACAAAGTGATTTTGGACAAAGTTTGAAATTTTTCTTCTCAAACTTTTGTTTTTTAAAAAGATTTCATGTTTGCTTTTTGACTATCTGGTTAAAACAAATCACAAGTGTGAATTCAAGGTTTATTTTTACCATTACAAGGCTTAGGTCTGTGGTTACAACATGCTTCTTGAAATCTAGTAAGTCTTAAAATGAAAGTATCTGTTGAATCTGAATGGTGTGTGTATTTTCTTAAGTGAATTAATGGATGTGAAGTATTTTACACAGTGCATGAGGCCATGAAGAAACGACAGCAGTTCTAAGACTCAGGTTTACTTTCTCTAGCAAACACCATCTATTCAAGTATCGCTTCCTGGGTGATCTTTAATTTTCAGTCTATGGGTATGTCACTTCATTAGGTTCCTTGGGATCAGAAACTCAGTGAGATGAGGATAGTGATAAAAAGGTCAAACAGAACAGAACATAATATGGCTTTAGCTCAAGGAGACGGGACTTTTCCTGCATGGAATGGAAGGCCACGGAAGGTTTCTAAGCAAGAAAGTGACATGTTCTGATTTTCATTTTTAAGAGATCAAACTGGCTTCTGTGCAGAAAATTATTTTGCTTCATTTAGTTTGAGAGGACTGAGGTAAGAATGGAAGCAGAAATAACCAGCAAGTAGATATTCCAAGTTAGAAATAAGGATGTTTTATATTAAGGTGGTGATAACTAAAAATGAAGATTCATATTTTTTCAGTGTGAAATTAAGAAGTCTGCTAAATACCAGTGCTTCAGATTTAAATAAAGTACATACATATTTAGAATTATAAAAATTAAACTTACTTTAGATACTTGGCATATTCTGGTTCTTTCCAGTAAAGCAAGTACTTAAGATAATTAACAAAAGCTTTGTCTTTGAAGTAACCTCTTTGGGCAAGAACTGAAAAGCATGAAAAAAAAAAAAAATCTGTAGGTCAAACCAATCCTTGGACTACAGACTTGTGACCCCCTGATATAAAGAATCTACTTATTTAACTTTCCCACAAATGAATTCAATTCACAAGTCCTAATTTGCTCATTTATATATATAAGCCAGCATAAGTAAAATTCCATTCAATTGAGAATGTATAAAAAGCAAAAACTACTATGAATTGCATCTCTTCTGTCAGAAACCATGTACAGCTAGCTCCTTAATAATCAAATGACTTACAATTAAGGTAATTTGGGTTGGCTAAACACTGTACAAATTCCAACTCCAACTGAAACCGAAGTCGATTTCCAGCATCATCTAGGAGAAAAGACAGCAAAAATCAACCAAAATAAATGTTACTATATGTAATATTGATTTGTAGACAAGAAACAGCAATGGGGAAACCTAGGAGATCTTTGTATAAAGAAAAGCATATGGTGGTCTTCCTCAACTGGGTGTAAGAGAAGAAAAGCTTTCTTAGAAATCTATGAAAAGTGGAGCTCTGGTTAAAAGGAATAAATTAGGAGTTTCTGTAAAATTAAAAAGAAGCCATTTATTTTTTTTTACTTTTTTTTAAGTTGTTGATAGACCTTTATTTATTCATTTATATGTGGTGCTAAGAATCGAACCCCGTGCCTCACACATGCCAGGCAAGTGCGCTGCTGCTGAGCCACAATCCCAGCCCCAAAGAGAAGTCATTTAAAAAAAAAAAGGAAAACAAATGGCGGCCAGAATGCCTAAAACTACAACCTTTAGGGACACTAGGAAGGCATGTGAACAGCAATCACTGGGGTAGATTATAACTGTGTCTTTCCCTATTTTAATATTAGGCAATAACCACAATTGCTAACAGTGATTAAGTTCAGCAAAAGCCAAGTGCTAAGTAAATTTTTTTAAAAGTTCAGAATTCAAGCTGAAAAGAAAAACTACAGAGAGTGAAAAATCGTGAGAAGTTTCAGGGACAGAATGATACACAAGTTTATCGACGATATTTCAAACTTATGTAAGCTCATGTGAGAAGCAGAAAATCAGTGAAAGAGACGGTTTAAGATCTAAGTCTTCTCAGTCTCGCCCATAGCGCGGAGATGGTGTCTACAAAGCATGTTATGGAGAAAAGATGTTTAAACAAATCAAATTCTGAAAAAGGCAAATCTGCCTTCGCCCTTCCAACGCTGCTCGCCTCTCGGTCCCAACTCTAACCCTGCCGAGAATCAGGCCTGAAAGGAGCTCCCGGGGAAACGGGAGAAGGGGTCTGGTCGGAGAATGGTTCGATCCGCGAAGATTCGAGGCTCGGAGCAGTACTCACCTGTCTCCATAGCGACGGCAGCGGCCATAACAAGCAGAGACACTAAATCGCCAGCAGTCTGACAGAGGAACAGCCCCGAGTGGCGGGGGAGGCTCCGGAAGCCATGGCTCCTCCTTCCGGTCGCGGGGCAGTATGGGATGCGGGGGCGGGCCCAGCCTCTCTAGGAGGCGGGCGGCTCCGCCCATCTCAGGCTCGCCGGGCCTGCCCCTCTTGGCCCGCAGAGGCTCACTACTGGCAAGGGGGCGGTGCCGGAGCCGCGTGGTGTCTGAGGACCAGGGTCCAGAGTTTGGAGGGACATTTCAGCCCTCACAGGACCGTGGTGCTTCTCCGTCATCTTGTCGTAGCACTCTTACCTGTGACAGCATCGTAGTTTTCGGGTTTTGCGCCTAGAGTGATGTAACATGCCATTCTGACGTCATTTCTTATCCTATGACGTATCATGGAGGCTGTGGGCCTCCGGAAGCCTCATTGACTCTCTTGGTCCTCTTACACCCGCAGAATGGCCTCGCCCCTCGGGGGCAAGCCGTCTACTCCACGGGTGGAGACTGCCCACTACAAGGAGACGTCGACAATCCGCGTGGAGACATCGTCCCATCGCGTGGAGACATCCTCTCTAGAGGTGCGAACGTCTTCCCGGCAGGTGGAGACCTCCCACTCCCCCTCTGGAAAGCAATTTCCTCGTGTCCTTGATGTTTCCTCCCAACACGTGGAAAGCGCCTCACAGCGCAAAGAAACGTCGTCCCGCCACGTCAGGATCTCGTCTCTGCAAGTGGAGACATCTCTGCAACGTGCAGAGAGCCCGCCAGGCGGGACAAGAAGGCCTCGTGCCAGAACGTAAAACTGGCCTGATGAAATGCTTCCCAAGGGTCGTGGCCCTTAGCCAGGTCAGAATTGTTTCCATTTTCCAGCTAGCCAGCTGTCAGGAGGACCAATCATATTTCGTTTCATGGAAACAGCCCATAAATCAATGTAAGAAATAGCCAAGCTGCGGTTTCTGGATTCAGCCAACATTTATTGACCATGGTGCACCTTGGATCATTCCGCTTTTGACACAGTGAACTATTTAACTTGAAGCCAGCATAAAAGGTTTTCAGGCCCGTGATACTGTGTAAAGTGAGTTGATGGACAGAGAGGCTGTTTGAAACTCTGAGCCAGGTGAGTTTGGGATTCTTTAGCGCTCAAATGGGTCATCACCATTTGAAATGGGAAGAAGGACCAAACTGAAGCTATGACCCATGTACTGATCATGTGCCTGCAAGTGATTTATATGCATGTTGAAAACCTGGGGGGCAAGGAACAATTTCTCATATATTATTCATTGGCTTTTATGTTTCAAAATAATGTGCTAAATCTTTATACGTTGTACCCCCAACCCACACAACTTTCTAACAGGTCAGATGTTAAAAACTAATAAATCCATCGACAATCAAAAATAATCTTAAAAAGAAAAAAATAATTTAAAAAAAAAATCTTAGAAGAGAAAGCAAGAGGAGGTCATTCAATCCTGACCTGAGGTCTAAGAAAGGTAGAGAAGAGTACCTACTCTGTTACAGACACTGTTCTCAGCACAAACTATACCAGTGAAATGTCCCTCCAAAGTTCTTGCTCTGATGGAGCTTACACTCTGGTGAAGAGGCAGACAATAAATAAGAAAATAAGACAATTTTCTATTGTGATTAGCACTGTGAAGGTACAATGTGATAGATAATGGACGTAAGGCAGTTCTTTAGATACGGTAGTCAGGGAAGGCCTTGCCAATTAGATAACATTTGACCTGACATATTTGTGAGTAAACAGTGAGCCATATACAGATCTAGGGGGAATGCATTCTAGGCAGAAGGAATAGCAAGTTCAAAGGGGGATGGGAACAAGCTTGTGATATTTAGGGAACAGAAACACTTAGTACTGCTTCAGTTTAGAGAGGAAAAAAAAATGTGGTATGGAATAAAAGAGATTAAAAGTAAGCAGGGAGCCAGACACAGTGGTCCATACTTGTAATCCTGGCAGCTCTATAGGCTGAGGCAGAAGGATTGCTAGTTCTAAGCCAGCCTCAGCAATTTAGCAAGCCACTGACTCAAAATGTAAAAAAGTAAAGAGAGTTGGGAATGTAGCTCAGTAGTACAGTACCCCTGAATTCAATCCCCAGTTACTATAAGGAAAAAAAAAAAAGGCAGGGGCCAGTTTATAGAGGGTCTTGTAAGTCACAACTTTTATTCTAATGTCAGTACGAAAACATTGGAGGATTTTAGCAGGCAAGTGACAGGATTCAATTTACATTAAAAGAAAAAAAATACCTGTTTTCTGTACATAGGCTGTAGGACAGTGGTTCCACTGGGGCCGATTTTGTCTCCCAAGCATACTTGGCAATGTCTGGAGATATTTCTTGCTTGGGAGGGGGTCATAGGAGGCACTATCAGCATCTAGTAGGTAGAGGCCAGAGATGCCACTAATATCCTGCAATGCACAGGTCAGCACCCCATCCCTCCACCACAAACCATTACTGGGTCCAGAGAATGTCAGTAGTGCCAATGTTGAAAAATACTGAAGATTCGGGCAATTTGGAAAATTGCTAGAGCATGATCAACTGGGAAAGCACCCCACTTCTGCATAGCAGGATTGTGGGGAGGACTAAGAAACACTAAGGAAAAAGGGTTAAAGGTAGTGTCCTTTGGTAAGTAGCAGGGTGGGAACTCTCAGAGGAAAGATATATGTTGCTTTTTGAGGAGCCCCCCATCCCTGCTTTCAATAATTTATGTGATATTTACCCCAGGAGGACAAATGGGTACCATCTAGAAGTCTGCTAATGAACCTGATCATGTGGGACCTTGTGAATTAGAGCCCTTGCTATTTCCAGGCACTGGGCTAGATCATCACTCACATTTCTTCATTTAACTTGGGGTGGGGTGCACTGGGCTGTTCCCTAGAATAGTGACTCAGGCCAAGAGAAATGTTATAAAACCCCAGAGGCTACCCCACTGCTCTGCCACATAAAACTTCTGCTATAAATGAATAATTAGCCTTTGGAATTTTAGTCTTTGGTGAGTTTACTAATTATTTTTAACATGACAGACAGTGTATACCTTATATAAAAACACTCTTTATAAGTGTTCTTTTTTTTATTTAGAATACTTATTTTTTTACATATAGATGGACACAATGTCTTTCTTTTTACATATAGATGGACACAATGTCTAAAGACATTGTGTCCATCTATATGTAAAAAAATAAGCTTTACATGGTGCTGAAAATCAAACCCAGTGCCTCACACATGCCAGACAAGCACTCTACCTCTGAGTCACAACCCCAGCCCCTATAAGTGTTCTTTAAATGAACAAAGTAGTTGCTTCTGTTTAATTCTATTCCTCATTTTTTTTGTTTTTAAAATTTTTTCATCATGGGATAATTTTTCATATTTTTATTAATGTAGTATAGTTATACATAGTAGTGGGGTTCCCTATTAATGTTTTTATTACAAAAGTGATATGTGCTTAACAAATGAAATAATTCTGGGCTGGGGATGTGGCTCAAGCGGTAGCACCAAGTGGTAGCACGCTCCGCTGGCATGCGTGCAGCCCAGGTTCAATCCTCAGCACCACATACAAAGAAAGATGTTGTGTCGGCCGAAAACTAAAAAAATAAATATTAAAAATTCTCTCTCTCTCTCTCTCTCTCTCTCTCTCTCTCTCTCTCTCTCTCTCTTTAAAAAAAGAAATAATTCTAAGATATGTGAAGAAAAATTTAATAATTTATAATCTTTCCATTTCTGTCTTCTGGAAATAACTGATATCAGAAACTTGGTATATATCCTTCCAGGTCTTTCTCCATTAACTGACTGCCTGTATCTTCTTTTTAATAGTTACCTAGAAGACTTGTTTGAACATGACTCTGAAAAAGACAAAACACCTGATTTCTGGATGATTGATTCTCCAGGAAGGACACAGGATCCTGGTAGTCTCTTCCTGCAATCTTTGTTTCATAAGAGGTTTTGTTTTGTTTTTTTCTTCTTTTTTTTTTTTTTTTTTTTTTGGTACCAGGGATTGAACTTAGGGGCACTCAACCACTGAGCCACATCCCCAACCCTATTTTGTATTTATTTAGAGACAGGTTCTCTCCAGTTGCTTATTGCCTCTTGGTCGCTGAGGCTGTCTTTGAACTTTCGATCCTCCTGTCTTAGCCTCCCAAGCTGCTGGGATTACAGGTGTGCACACAATGCACTGCCTGTAACTGACTGCCTGTATCTAGGTTTTATCTAGGTTTTTTCCTCCAATTTTTATTTATTCAAGTTTCAGAACTTAAATCCAAAGAGACATGCAGAGCAAGAAAGTGTTGAAGAGGACAAAGTCCTGAAGAAAAAGACATCAGCCATACAAATATCTTTTACAGATTCCACAGCTTTAAAATGATTCTGTATGTTGGAGAAACCTGTTTGTCATAATTGTTAATGTACTTACTGCATTTTGTAAATGTGTGTTAGCCATACTGTGAGTCATCCTCCTCACATGGTTGTCTCTTGGAAGCTCCAAAGGAACATGGTGCTGTTGTACCTATGACATGCTATATAATGCTAAGCACAATGTGTGTACTTAATAACGAGTGAAGAGCAGTATTCTATCCATTCCCAGCCAAGAAAGCCTTTAATGGCTCAATCTAATAATCCATTGGATTTATTGTGGTCTGTAGTAGTTGTGACTTGCCTTCAGTCACAGCCAGCCAGGTTGGTTTGAAAAATTAAGTACAAGTCCATCTAAGGAAGAAGTTAGCACTTCTTATTCTCCTCCAAATCCTCTCATTTATATATAAACTATGGGCAGCTTACGAAATTGATACATCTGTTGTATTGAAAATACTTGAAATGAAAAAAATGATATTGATGGAATTCTCTTTCCCCAAACTACACAAACCATGGGGAAGAACCATGAGTCTAACCAGCAAGGTTTTTGGTTCAAGTCCTGACCTATATTTTCCAGAATTTCTGTTCCTCCATCCTTCTGTTACTCCCATCCAGTATGGCCAATACAAATATCCAAGCCTGGATACTTGATCCAGCCTCTTGGTTTAATAACCTTTAACTATGTATCTCCTACAAATAGCCTCAGCCCTTTCTATTCTACCTACCACCCTGAGCTATCTGTATGGTTAGAATTGCATGGCTGCAATAACAAAAACCCACCCAAAGTGGCTGAAACAAGTAGGAATTTGTCTCATACAACAGTAAGTCTCATGGCATTTCATCCCAGTAATGCCATCAGAGGTGCCGTCAGTTTTTCTGCTATACCATCTTTAGTACATTATCTTTGCTTTCCTGCCTGCTTCCTCGTGGTTACAAGTGCTTTTGTACCTCCAACTCTCCCACCTGCATCCAATCAGACAAAAGGGATAAGGAAAGGGAATGAGTTGTGGTTTTTTCCTACCAAGATTTTGCCTTTAAGTTGGAAAGGCAAACCTTTCCCAAGGACTTCTGTTTGTATTTCATTGGCCAAAACTGAATCATAATGGCTACCCTTAGCTGCAAAGGGAGGTAAGGAAATCAAGTATGGCACTTCTTTCAGGTGATCGTTAGTAGTTCTCTCAAATGTCTTAGCAGTTACCTTGCTCTTTTCATCTTTAGTGTATCATTGACCAGAGTAAGTCCCTGAGGACTGTCAGAAGGCCTTCCTTAGGGCCTTTGTCTCATATTGGTGCTATGGATTTGAATATCTGAAATATATTTTTACTGGATTAATTACTCTCTTTAAAGTTCCTTTCAGAACTTTAAAGGTGTTGCTTCACTATCTTCTTACTTGCATTGTTTCCAACTAAAAAATTAGCTCTCTCCTATCTTTGTTCTTCTGTACAATGCTTCTCTATGACTTCTTATAATTTTCTCTTTATCAATGGTTTAAGCAATTTGATTATGAAGTGTCAGAGTGAAGTTTTCTTAATGTTTCTTGTGAGTTTATTGTACCTTTTGGATCTTTGGTTTTAATAAAATCAGAAATTCTTCAGTTTTTCTGTCCTTCTCCCCCCCCCCCACAGGTGTCAATTACAGGCATATGAGGCTTCTTGAAGCTATCCCACATCTCACTGATGCTCTGTTCGGTTTTTTTTAACTGTATTTCACCAGATAGTTTTTATTATTTCAAGTTCACTAATCTTTTTTTTTCTCTTTTTTGCATTGTCCAATTTATCATAAACATTGCCTCATGTTTTCTTTTTATCTCACTCATTATTGGTTTAAATAGTTGAATTTGGGTCTTTGCAATATTTTCCATATATAGATGATTTTATATATTCTGTGTATATCTATTTGGCATGTTCAACTTTTCCTCCAGTTTCTTCAACATATGCTATATAGTTTTAATAACCACTTTAATACCCTGTCTAATTCTATCATCTTTGTTGTCTCTGGACAGTTTCTATTGATTGACTTTTCTCTTTAGTAGAATTGTATCTTGTTTGTTTCTTTTCATGTCTGGTTATTTTTGTTTGAATGGCAAGTGCTGTGAATTTTAACCTCACTGAATGTTGTATATTTTTGTATTCTTACAAATATTCTTGAGCTTTGTTCTAATAACTTTTAACTTTAAGTTATTTGGAAATAATTTGATCTTTGAGTCTTGATTTTAAGGTGTTTGTTGGGACAGAGTAGTATTAAATGAAGGGCTAATGTTTTCCTACTACTAAGGCAAAACTTTCTAAGTCTCCCCTTGATAACCCCTGCACTTAATGCATATGAGCTTTGGAGTGGTCCTCTCCTTCAGGTGGTACTTTTCCTGCCCTTGAATAGTTTTCTCATACACATGCAAGGATCAGCCCTCAGCTGGATACTTGATGGGGACCTCTGCTTATCTCTCTCTTTCTGCATAATTTTCCCATTTTCAGCATGCTGTTCTGTGAATTCTAGCTATGTTGGCCTCCCCATACTCCCAGCTCTTATCTCAGAGAAGTGAAAGTACTCTGCCAAAGTTCCTCCTTACGTTGCAGCCTGAAAGCTTTCTCCAAATAGTAAGCTGGGGCAATCATAGGGCTTGCCTTTGTTTCTTCAGCTATTCCAGGTAAGAGGGTAAATCCAGTCCCTGTTATTCCATTCTGGTTGGAAGCCCTCTCCTCATTATTTGACATAAATTTTGTTGGAATTGAACTTTGCCATTTAGTTCCCACGTAACAGAATATTCAGATGAGACTGTGATTAAATTTATGGAGTAATCATTGTAGCCTAGAGATGGATGGTATCACTATCTTCCAGAGATGGATACAATGACTATTGAGACTTTGTGTCTCTCTTTTTTGAGGAGAAAGTATCTTTATTTCTCTGAACAATCATTGCATTATGTTTCTAACACAATGTAACTATTAGATTAATTAGATCGGGGAGTATAGAAGTTTAAATATAAATGCTGATTGGCCAATATAATTGACTGTAGCAGTTGGAATTTTGTCCCTTGACTCTAAACACCCCTTCTGTACTCAGCTTTGTGGCTAAGACTAGGTCTCAAGGTATTTCTGTTGAAATGCCTTCATGTTAAGCTCAGGGGACAGGGAGGCACCAGAGGGAGCATTCAGTCTGGAGGAGGACAGCAGGTCTTCTCCCTGACTGCTATGTTCTTCCTCCCTCTTCCCCCATGTGCTTCCTGTGAGTATACTGACACCAGCAACTAACTCTTCTCCCAGGAAGCAGCAATGTCTTCCCTTAGTGGTGGTTGAATATTGTTTTTACTTCTCTATTTGAAGAACCCATTTTACTGCGCCCCTCTTCAAACACCAGTATTCCTCCAAGTTTCTAGGTTTTAGTAATTCTGATCTCAGTTCTTCCCTGGAGGTAATGTAAGGAAAGAACTGAATGAAGGAAATCGAGAGAGAGGCGGCTCACAGTAACACAGGTTTATTCAGACAAACCTGCAGAGAGGGCCCAGTGGAGAGTCCTTTCTTCCATTTACAGCCTAGGGTAGTTATTGGGGCATGAGGCAGTGGGGGATTTTGCTAGGGGGTTGTCAGGGAAGCTTGCTTGTAGTCATCACCTCCATTGTTTTAGGTGGTCACTGTGAATGTCAAACCCTTGCTTTTCAGAATTGCGGTTTCTCAAAACAATTTTCTTTCTTTGCATGATAATGGAGTATTGCCTAGGGTTTAGGTCAGGGTGATTCAGGATGTGAGATAACTGTTGTTCTAAGATGGAGGATATGTTTCAAAATGGTGTTGCCTGTATCCAGTTCTTCCTCACAGGCAGGGCATCTTTTCCGTATGCTTATTATCCAGGCAGGTTTCCTTTTCTTGTAGATTCATATCCTTTGTTCATGTTCTTCTTTCTAATTTTTAAACTGATTTTTCTGAGTCCTAAATATTCTGAATACAGATTTTCATTTGTTTGCATTGTAAGCAAAATTTGTGGCTTGCCTTCCTCTTTAAGTTTCAGAAGACAGTTCCTCACTTTCCACCATGTGCCTCCAGCTTAACTGGCTTCCTTTCATAATGGCAGCCATGTGTATCTGTCTTAATAAACTGACCCCCTGGAGTGCTATCCCAGGGTTTTTTAAGCTTCTAGTCAAAACTATTAAAGGCTGGTCATAACCAGCATTTTAAAAAAGTAAAAAGAAGAAAATATTATCAGAGTGCTTCACACTGTTTAAAATAGAGAAGAGAAAGGAAGAAGAGAAAGAAGGAGAGATTTGAACAATTCAGTTATGATTCAGTGTGTTACTAGAAAGGGAATAGGCTTCTACTGGGTCAATCCATCAAGCACCCATTGGTAAGAACATTTTGCAAAAGAAGAGAATAGTAAGACAATCACTGTTAGCCTGGATATAAGAAAATAGTTCTATTTAAGGATTAGTAGATTTACTGAAAGTTGTTAAAAGACTTTCATGTCCCGTAAGGTTGACATAAGCTAAGTGTATAAGTAATTAGTTTCTCAAAAGAGGTCTTAATCCCATTAAATCCATCAGAAAATTGCTCAAGTATTTTATCAAAAGATAATTGATCCCTTTGGCTGGGCACGATAGTACAAACTTGTAATCCTAGTGACTTGGGAGGCTAAGGCAGGAGGATC